TAGCTAAAATGCACAAAAATAATTAAACATTAACAATGTCTGCAAAGCATTTGCATTTCGACTGAATTTAGGAATGAGTTTGTGACTAACTCTGGGCACCCGAGATCGGGATCAGAGATAACCTAATATTAATGCAGGACTCCTCCGGAATATCTTTTGTGGTATCCAAGACACTGTTTGTATCACAAATGTTTACTAAATAGAAAAAATCAACTGTGCAAACTAAGTAAGTAACCATTTAGCTGATTGCTCGGTTCTGTTATTTCTAGTTAAAAGCAATAGAAGATGGCCTACCTTCACCAGGATGAAATTTGACGAGAAAAAGTGCTACAAGCGGCCCAATAAAGCCAGCCAAACTCCTAAAAACAAAGACAGCACAAGATATCCCAAGAACATGGAATTATTTAAAGCAACGCAATGCTCACCTTTGCATCTCCTTGACCTTGCTGAGCTGAGGAGAGAAAAGCGTGGACTTCGCCTTTTACTTCTTTTACATATGATATTACTAGCTTTCAATTGGTTCTTCAACCTCCAGTGATCGACGAATAGGATGCGTGATATTTAGTCAGCCTATACTTTTTAAAAATGACTCATTTGCTAGAGGGTACAAATCGGCACCCTTTTACTATCAGCACAGAATAATATGCTATTTTATAAGGACTTATTATTTAAGGAGGAATCTGAGATGAATCATCATTTTAAGCAAACCGTTTTAACTCTGTAAGACATGGATTCCTTTAGTAAAGCTTGGGGATCCAGGTAGACTTTGTAGTTTTACTTAATTCATTCCATGCAAAACTGTGGCTGTTTGAATTTAAGAGAGAAAAACTGGGTGATTTTATAGAGACATGACTTTGAATCTCTGGGAAATTCTGCTAAGTTATTGGTCTACAGGTAGTCAAATTTTATAACACTTCACCTAGAGATGGATGTGTCCTTATAACAACATGTCTTTGAGAAGTCTTGTTAAATGGTTAAAGCTTAATTCTTAAACTTAGTATTTGCTCTACGCTAAGTTTTCACTGAAGTCTTTAGTTAGGAAAAACTTACCTAAATGATAGCTAAGGAGTCTTAGCGTGGCCAGGGGCCTTCGCCATTGAACCGAAATCAAATCCGTGGGGATCAAAGGTCCCGCATAGTTAAAATTTACACTTACTTAAAGTAGCAAGTCATTGAGGTTTAGACTGCGTTTTCTAAAAGAGGACCCCACAAAAATTTCCAAAAGAATTTTGCACCTTAAAAATTGATCAACGGTAGTCAAATAGTCTTGAAAAGCTAAACCCATATAAACATTATATTTCGACTAATATGCACTCTTTATTTTATGAAAACTAGGTAAAGACAGAAGAATTCACGAAAATTCACAATTTTATATTCGAAAACCGACGTATTTTTCGCTTCTCTAAATATTCCTCATTTTATTTTTCAAATGGCATTATACCCTATTTTAAATTATTGAAAACACTTTTGAGATAATAACACTCTACAGACAAATCAGATACCATTGTAAAACACGTTTGCCTCAAAAGTCGGATTTAAACACTTCAGAATATATTTTGATGCTAATTAAGACGTCGTACCATATTACGTGACCTCGCCGCAACTGGCGCGATGCTAAGCGCTGCCTTGACATTCATCATCATAGGTAGGCGAATAAGTGATTCCATAATCTTAGAGTTACCATGGCAATGGAGCTAATGATTCTATCTTCAAATGGAAAACGGGGCAGAAAAAGGTCCGGGTCTAAATGAAACAGTTGATTAACATTGACTTATTAAGAAAGAAATGCATACTCTTGGAATTAATCCTCGCTGGCTTTTATTCCAAACCATGTGTATTTACTTAGGAGATGTACGCCAATACTAAAATAAGAAGTTGTAACATCAAAATTTGCGGCCTTGCTACAGCTTGACAAATACTGAGGTTTCTCACTTAAGGCAACAATCTAGTAATAGAAGCAGCTATTCATCAAATTTGAAAATGTGTACACAGTCTGTAATTTTTCCAGTCTTCATGACATTAATGTTAGGTAAAATAAGATAAAAAATTGGCAAAATAGAATTTTTTAAAGCTGTTATATTAAATAATAAGATGTGTGTGTTTTCTTTCCATCCACTATAGGCAGCCCGTGCGTAGATGAATATCTTTTAATCAATTATTGAGCGAACATGACAGCACCCTTTCCAGACCTAGTAAAATATTTTTACATTTAAAATGTTAAGCAAACGAATAAATATTTTAAGAGATAATAAGGCATGCCTAAATACATCATGAAAGGAAAGTGAAATAATAATCTTAGCTGCTGGGCACCTTGCAAGCAAATGCAGATGATGCACTTTCCTTGAATGACCACTTCTGCATAGCTTCCTAAGGTTTGAAAAATTCAAGGTTTTGTTAAAGAACATATTTACTTAGAGGACAGCCCTATTATCTACTTGCAAATCTGTTACTTTAGCTAATCGACAATTAAATTCGCTCGGCAAAGCGTTTATTAATTTAGTTTTAATGTGTCCTTGAGACTAAGATTCCAAATGCAACAGAAGTCACGGTTTGCCATTCAGAGTGGTGTTGTAGGATAATATGTTGGTAGGTCACATGTAGATAGGAACTTAGATAAAGCTGGTTATTTGCATTATTACTTGAGAAGAGTGCATAAATACTTTTGACAACCAGTGAAAAATTGTTTTCAAATCCTTAAAGCTTACGAAAATTTTCCAATATGAGAAAAACACTGTCAGAAAAGTCGAACTTCATAGTCAACTTATCACTGCAACCTTGTTCTGATGCGTTTGTCTTTGGCAGAGATATTGGTTATAAATCTGTAATTGATAATAATTGAATAAAGCTTAGTTAGAACAGTTGGAGTAGGTTTGGTTAGCTAAGGCACCAAAAAGGCAGCAATTCAAAATCAGATTAAAAAGTTATGGCCAAAAATGGCAGACTCACAGTCAGCATTTAAATTTAAGAAAGCGAATATTCCTGGCAATCAAAGGATTTGCCATGTACTTTCGCAATCAAAATTATTTATGGATGGAAGGAGTGGATTACAGAAAAGGGATACATAGCATCATGCTAATCCTTATTCGGGCCTACTTGACAGACGCATTCTGGAGTCTATTTACAGCCACGTCGTTAAAGTCTAAAAAGGAGGTTCTTACAAAACAAAGTTTTAATCTAAAGGGTAGTTTTAATCATTAGCGAGTTTGGCATTCCAAATAATTTATATCGACAGCTATATAACATTGGGTGTTTGCCCATTTGGCAAGGATGTAGACTTCTAGACTGACAAAGTTCATTATTAATGGGTAAGCCAAATATCCTGAAGTTAGCATTTTACATAAAAGAGTTGCAGCTAATCAAGATTATTGCATAAGTTGGATAAAAGCAAATGCAAAACCCAGAAGTTTATAATCAAAGTCATTTTGCATTTCTCACAGAACCGACAGCCGTGCTGATGCATATGTAGTAACGCCCTCCTCTTTATTTTGGAGTTGAGCTTCGATGGACAAATTTAAGAATGCCTAAAATCATATTTTGGATAAATGGAAATAAAATGGCAAATTTGGTCGTACTCCTAATGGTATGAGTTTCCATATGGTCATCTTAATTGCTGCCATCTATTTGGTCAGAAAAAGTTCTTTGACAAGAAACTTCATTTTTACTGTCTATTTGACTGAAAATTGACTTTGGACTTGGTAATTCTAAAGTTCTAAAAGCGAACTTATTCATTTTGTTGCAAATTATGAAATCAGAAGGCCAAAATTTCCCATACAAAACCATCTTCAAAGTCAAAATGTAAAAGATGTTTTTATATGCTCTCTTTCAAGTTGTGCGACTTTGGAAAGGTTAATCACATGAAAGATAAATAGGCTAATGTTTAACCTTTGCGATCCTACTTTTAGAGCTGAGCACTTAAGACACTTTATACTTGATATATATATGTATTATATTTATATATACAATACCTGTCATTATTTCATTGCATTAATTTTATGGTGGATAGGAGATAAGCGATTTAGACATTTAGCAAAATTTCACTTTTGAGGGTCACAAACACGGGCCTCAAGACGTGACTTTAGCGAGGTTATTGAGTTTGATAGATGGAAACACGCCACGCTAACCTACAACCTTGTGAAAAAATCGTATGATCGTGCCTTTAGTCGCGTCATAGAACCAAGGTTAAACAGTTAGATCCAATTGCTTTTTTTCTTTGATTACAAACCGGGAAAATTGCCATGGGATATGAAGGACCCATTTTGGCTTTACTCCAAGCTTTCATGTGCAAAATTTTGTCAAGTTTGAGTTTCTCCAAAGGCTCAAATCTGTTTCCTAAGGATTTTGAGGAATACATTAATAAACATTCAAAGCCATAGTTTCCCTTTGTTTTAAAAAAAATTCAAAAAGTCAAAACAGAGTGATATCTTTATTTCTTTCCTATCAAGGAAAGGAATTTTTTCCACCAAGTAATGATCTGTAACTTAGAACCACCAATATATGGGACAACGAGATGTTCGATTTCTGTACCCCAAGATACAGGAATTGGTAGGAAGCCGAGTCCATCATAATTCGAGACTTAAGTAGAATCATCTTAAACTGACATGAGTAAGTAAAAGTGAAAAATTAATTTCCAATTTATTCGTCTTCTCAGAATAAACCTCATTAGTTTTAACGGTTTTAAAGTTCTGTCAGATCTGTATAACTCGACATCTTTAAGAGTAGCCTACTCATCAGAGCTTTAAAGGTTATGTTGGAAGTATAGAATAATCAACAAAATTTCGCTGATGATTCCTTCTAATTAAAGAAATTGCCTTAATTTGAAAGGTATGAGTCCCAAAATAGTTTAGAAAGCTAATCTTTTTCATTGTTTCAATTGATCAACTTTAAAACATATTTTAAGGCAGCTATACACTGATCTACATTTACGAATTGCAGTTAACGAACACTGCTATCCAGCTGCCAAAATAACAATAACACAAATTTCTCTATATCCTCGTGGGGAATTATGGTACCTAGTTATGGCAGATTAATAAGCTTTCCATTATGAAGATGCGCAGTAAAATAATTTGACAAAGGCTATTTCAGACGTGAAACACTGCTTACTAATCTACCACTCTGTCGGATCAGCTCAACAAAGTTAAGGTAGACTGATATTTTGCCCAATCCTACTTGTGTCCTTATTTTGCTCAAAACTGCTTCAAAATTCATTTTTTAGCTAAAGTCTGGCTTTACCAGTCCTTCATGGTTCCGTTTTAAAGCGTATTTTATAGTTAAGAAAGAAGTGTCTCATATTCTGCATTGTAAAAATTCCCTCAAATATCCAAGATTGCGGTTTAAGGTGAGTTATTTTGAAATCATTCTTTGGCAGTGTAATCATGCGAACCATATCATTATGATTAAGTATTGAATGTCTGGGGCTCTTATCACCTTAAATTATCTGGCCAAGTTGGATTGAATTGAATTGTCTTCCATTCTGCAATGATTAGTGGATATAATCATATTAATTCTAAACCTATAAGTCTTTTCTTTAAAAGGAAAAACTAAAGTAAATTGACCAGTAAGGGTGTCCCAAACTAAGCGCGCTTGCAGCAGTACTTTACCAATTTTCAAGGAAGCTTTGCAGATTTCATTCAACTGCATTTCTGATTAAACCATACAGATGGTGCTAAAGCTTGACAAAATTCCAACGTCGGAATTATGGCTGCCGTACATGCTCCAACTTATTTCCTTTAATTTACTTATCCACCATAGAAACCCTAAAGCTCGACTATTTCTAATCTAGTCTTCGTTTGCTAGGTAAGTTTTGCCACTTATTTATTCACTTATTTTGTATTTGTGCAAATTTAGGACAAAATTAACGGACACTTGTTGCAATGTCAGCAACTGGTTATTTTAGACAGCACAGTGATGACATCACAATACACTTTACTTATATTTATGACCTACACATTTTCTTACGCAGGCTATTCTGACTTAATAGGTCAGTCTTTAAACCATGATGTATTAATACAGTTAGTGACATTGGTAATGGCCACTAAACACTTTATTTTTACTTAAATCGACTTTTCAGAACCGGCGTTGCAGCCCAGTAAGAGATTTTAATTTACTGTAAAACTGATGTTTTTATCAATACAATTTCGCCTATTATCGGGTGATATGCTGGATGATCAAAAGTATGTTATAACCCTTAAATAACTTCTATAAAAAAATGAAAATTAGGTATAAACCGGAATTAAATTTTCAAAATTGCTAATGCTTTTATTTGAAATCTTGCATTTAGGCTTAAAAGGTAAAATATGTGTGTCCCCCATAAGTACGACCACAGTGCATCCAAATCTCCCACATTCAGGCGGATTACGCCATGTTGATGCAAAGGACGGCGACTAAAGTAAGAAAAATGCGTTTAAGGCGGAGTCATTTCCCTAACAACAATTCCCTACCTATTAATACAAACGATCCTAGAAAGCTGCTTTGAGTGGCTGATCCAAAAAAGTGGCCAATGACTTCCTCCATGGGCAGCAGAGAGAGGATATCGCTTATAACGTCGGGTTTAGCTGTCAAAGAAGTCAAGTGTTGCCTTTAATATGGCAAATTACAAGAAAAGTCAGAGTTAATTTTCCTACAACTTACGAGCTGGAGGATGTTTGCCTAAAAATTTAAAAATCGCAGTAACGATCATTTCATTGGCTCAAGAAATATCACTTTAAGCTAGCAAGCACTTATGTTCAAAAAATTATTTACCCCAAACAATAGCATGAGTGTGATACTGGCCGTTGTATCCGATGCAGTAATAGTCGACCTCCTCCTTCTTTTCCACCGTTACTCTGATTATAGTGTGCATAAGAAAGACGTTTCTTTCTATAAATTATAAAAGTCATTTGTTATTTCTACAGATATCTTGCCTATAGTTATTTTTATATATTCGCTTACGAAGCTCTAGTATATGAGGGTAATCTTTAAGATAATCATATTCCTTCTCCTTATATACGGGATCGTTTGATGCCGAGTAACTAAGTGTAAACTGAAGCAAAAGATAAAAGAAGTTAAACCTACACCTGCTTTTATAAATAAAAAAAATCTGGAAAGAAAGCATACATTTGGAAGAGATACGGCACTGAAATGGAGGATATAGACGGAAAAAGTCACAATGTCGGTATCTTTGGCGCTAGTGACGAGGGGTAGAGAGTATTGCCACTGGAAGGTGTCTAAACACAAAGACAAAGCCTTAAAATGCATACTTACGGTCATCTATCTCCGGCCAGTAGTGATCAGTATAAAAGAGGATAACAATTGGAATTGAGTGATTGCCGAGAAACGTAACTCGCTTGAGTCCGTATGTCATAACACCGGAGAGAACTGCAACACTTCGATACGGCATATCTGATTTTAATAAAAGAAGCAGAGACATTGGTTAAAATCTCGCAAAATTTTTGGAAATGATTTCGGAGACTTACCTTTCTCAAGAGTACAAGTGAAGAGCGGTGTTGAGCAATCCTCACCCTTTACTATTATACTATGCATTCCAGAATCGACACGCTAGGTGGAGGGACATTATAAGCATAAAATACCTACAGTATATTCCCCTGGGAGGATAGTTCTATAACTAAATTTAGATCCAAGTTTTCCATACACTACACGACCATCATTGGGAAGCATTAGAGGCTCTTCAGCGCCTAGAGGAGAAGCGTAATATACAGAATACACCATAAAAATTTATTATAACAATGGCTCAAACTGCAAAATAAAACGCACTTGCAAAGGAATGAAGGAGAGTGAGGGAGAAGAGAAGGTGGTAAACAGTAGCCATCATGGTCAGCGGGGTCTATCTGTGGCAGAAGCATTCTCCATATATATGAGTTTTATGCACACACAACCCCGTGACCTTGATATATGGCGTGTTTAGCATGCGAGACTTGTTAGCATTCAGGTGGTTTGCTGACAGGAAACCACTACTTGCTTGTCTAATTAGCAAACTTATTAAGAAGATTATTAGTTTGCCCTTTTAAATTTAAATAATAGAGTCAACTTAGACTACTAACTTTGAAAAAGCACATCAAAGCGTTGGAAAATTATAAATAGAAATAAGTCTCTTAAAGGTAAGCAATGCAACCGAAATGAGGAGTGTGATGCTCTATAAAGAAGAGGTATAGACAGTAGCATTCATAAAGAAATGAAAAAAACATGGTCTACTCAAATCTTAGAATTAACTTTCCTCAGCAGATTTGCAACATTTCTATCACTTTTACCAATATAATTAACAGAAGTTATTGTAAAAACACCTTGTTTAATGAACTATTCCTTATTGCGTAAACTTATCAAATAATTGGACTACAAGTGGTGCTAAATGGCTAGATCCTAAAAACGGACAATTACATTGATGGCACTGAAAGCAAGTGGGCAAATGTAACTAATTCAACCACTGCAAAGCATCTATTTAAGTAATTGTCTACTAAAATAGCATAAGTAGGACGGTGGCTTTGTACTTAGTCACATGTTATATTGTATTGATAATTTGATGATCCGACAATTTGTACTTCGCTCTGAGACGTGGCACTTCAGCACGTCAGTTATACGTGTACTATTTCCCATCGCTCTGGCTTATTACGATTACGGAAGAACCCAAAACGGCAAATTAGGGGAAAATTATGCATTACACCTTGTAAGTTACTGTTCAAGCATGCAAATATTAAAAAACTTGATAATTTTAAGATATTTTAGTGCAAATAGAAGATAAGCTGTTAGACAAGAAGGATTTTGAAGTTGAAAATTGCCCTGGATCTCGATCTATAAAGGATACTTAGTTTTTATGAACCTATTTTTGGTTTTGAAAATGCTTATTTAATTATTAAACTGTCTCTGGTGCAAAATATTACTTGACATCAGTTTGGAGTACAATTAATAGTCCATAACAATTATTTATTGATTAAAAATCACCACTTTAGTAAATAAAGCGCCTTCCTTAGTCTACTCTTTTTCATTATAGGGTCCCGAGTCTTTTCTGGAAAAAAGCAAGAAATTATAATGCTAACACAAAAATGCACTTTTAGTGAATAAAAGGTCTAAGGGACTACTGTAATAGGCCGAAGGCAATGCTGCCAAGTAGGAGATCAAATGTGGAGCCCCAAGTGTTCAGGTAGCTAAAACCATAGTACTACATAACTCCTCTAGCCTTTTGAGAGTCATCCACAGAGCTTTGATGAACTAGTTTTTGCATCAGCCATTCCAGTATAGTCAATGTCATTAGAAGAACACTCCTTGCTACTTTCTTCTTAATCCAGTGTAGAACAGTCACGTATTTATCTGAATTTCATCCGGCTAATGGGGATATGGAGGAGGTGTATTGATATAGGTACCATAGACAGATCTGCAAAGAACTTACTTAGAAGATTTAGGGTTAGTGTTACTTCAGCTATTTATAACCTTCCTGGAAAAACGGTACCGGGGTAGTCGAAGAAGGCAGACGTCACTCTTAACCCTTCTGTTAGGGATCACCACTAATTCATTTATTCACAATGTGCGTTTTTCTTCCGCTACCCCAAAGTTTAGCATTCAGCAATAGGAATTTGTACGCTTGTCCCATGCGATTAGATTCGCCGTTCGCTAGTACCGATGCAGTGTTCCGGGTCTTCCCTGAAGCCGACTGAAACCATAAAACAGGAGCAGAATATGTATTTTCAAAGTACGGGAGGAGTGTGATGCTACTGGCATGGCAAGCTCATACCGCCTAGCAAAAGCATAAAGGCGGAGCCTTACGTGTCGGCGGAATTGATGCGAACAGTTAAGCATATAATTAAGCTATTTTATTCATTTTAACAGAACCCCTTTAGGATGTGAAGCTGGAAAAAGCACTATCAAAGGTTCGCTTTGTGTACAGTAATCCGCATTTCGTAAATTAGGGAGAGCATACAAATATTTAAATACTTGAACTTAATTACCATTTCTCAAAAGGTTGCGCGCAATAAGTAAGATCAATTAAAGAAAGAAAGAATTGTGCCCAGTTGTTTTTTAACTAAAGGTGGTACATCAGGCAAATAGGTCAGCTGGATCATTTTATAATTCCATTCATGAACAGTTAGTGTGAATGTGAATAAGCAAAACTGAAAAGGAGGGTTGATCAAACGAATAAAGAAATATTAAACGGGAGGCAAATAAGGATTCCTGAATCTTTTATTCGATCATTTCAGGTGGCGTTTGGACATAAGTAAGTAATTATTCAACAGGGCTGCACATAACCTTTACATTTAGATCTCAATAAAATATTGCTTCAGAGTACTTGATAGTTTAGCATTCGCGAATCTTGGTGGAGACTTTTGAGTCCATTATTTACCCCCAAAATGTCACTCACTTAGCCAGACCCTCTTGTTCATCTGAAACAAAGCTAGAGTAAGTTAACTTTCACTTCTCCACAATTTGCAATGTTACTCTTGGGTTATTTTTAAATGACCTTGCAATCCTTAAACATAAACGACCTTTTGGGTATCATGATTAATAAATGGGAGCTGTTTTTTTAAAAAGGAGAGCAACTGTTGTCCCTAAGTAATATTAGTTAGAGTAAACAATGGGGTAGAAAGTCATAAGGCTAATTAGGATTGAAATATTAAATGGAGGTAGAGTCTCGGGGTTAGTTGCAAAAGTGTAGGAATCAATTTTAAAAGCAGCTTATTTGACTTATCAGGCGAATAGTTATGTGATAAAAAGATGAAAAGGCATTGACGTAGATTTGTGTGCATCGAATTCGCATCTAAGATTGAACTTAAATTTCACCAATTTATGTAAGCCTTATTAGATTCCACCATCGTGGTACCTCTATAAACAATTATAGCTTCATCTTTGTAGCACAAGGCCTATCTACTCAAAGCTATGAGAGAGATATTTAACTCCATCTGTGTAAAAGACAGCATTTGTATAGCTGCAAAAGTTGGAAAAACAATGAATAAAAGATTTAAAATACAGCAAAAACCGATTGGTTCAAGTAGAGGCTTTTCAAAAAAATGCATAAAATAATCCAATTTTTGGTTTCAAAGGCAATAAAGGTAAGATTTTTAAGCTGTTTTGCAGTTTTAACTGAGAAAGATCAGTTTACATCAAGAAAAGAACTTGATGCCATTATAAATACTTAAAAAATGACTTTAAAAACAACAAAAGTCAGAAACTTTTAATGATTTGCATTTAAAATGAAGTTATTAATGCGTCGTCGTTGGCTAAATTCTGTCGAAAACTCATTATTGATGTGCACAGTCTTGTCAAGTGATTGGGCGATCATTTGAATAGGCGGTCATTCGAAAAATGCATGCCAACTCCCAAATTTACATACAAAGATGCTTTAAGCGTTTATTGCACCCTTTAAATTGCAAATTTTACTCAACCATCTTTAAGCTAAGGTTCGACTTAAGTGTTGAGCATAATGATTTGGAATTTAAGAATACTTTGAAATAGCAAACTGTTTGCCCTCGAAATACAAAAATTCGGATAATTAACCGATGTAGCCAAAACTACTAAAAGTATTTAACTGCCTCTCAAATAAAAAGTTGCGAGTATAAGGAGTATGTGCATAAAATAATTCGACCAGATCGAGGATTTCAACAAATCTACACATCTTCAGGGTGGTTAAAGCAAACATCTCCTTTGTGCTATATGGAACGCTTAATTCAGCCTCCGAACGTCGACATCTAAAATTACAGCATCAAAGAAGACCTTAAAGCATATACTTTTTAACCCACTTCAAAGTTTTACTACCTTGGTCCTTTGAAATCCTCACCTCTATAAGGTGTGTAATGGCCTACAGTAGTGCTTCAATTGCTCATGCGACCGGATTTACTTTCTTGATAATAGTATTTTTAAGCTAAATGCATCTGAGCTGTTAAAAATTCTGACAGCAATAGTGACATCAAACAGTGGGCCTTAAAATCACTTTATCAAGCTTTTTCCTTCACGAACACAGAGAGGATTATATTTTGGGAGGATGAATAATCACTTTAACCGCGTTTACAGTGTGATTGCTTGATGTGTCGTTATCCATATTCTCTTCACTGAAGGGGTAAATAAAATCCTTAATGAAATCATTGCGCAGCAAGGTTTTTCAGCATTGCTTATTTATGTAAAAATTGATTTTTGCCATTTTACTTTCCTGTTTGACATTGATAGCAACTGTTAGGATTCTAGTTTCATTTGTCCTGACTTCAGTATATGCAAAACTTTGAAGAGGTTCATAAACACTTGAGAGGTGTAGCATAGTCTTCTGAATTCAAATACCTGGCTAAGCCGGAACATGAAATAAGATAGCAAAACAATCCAAGTAGGGAAGTGCTTTTATTCTACCTGTCTTGGTTCCAACGATGTCCCGGTTACACAAGAGCAGCTGAAAATCTTACAGCCAGGTAACTCAGTGCTAAAGGACAGGAATGGCGGTGATTAAAAGTCTTCCAGCAATTGAGACAATGATCACTTAAAAACTAGAGGTAAAAAGAAAAAAAATAAAAGGTTAGTAAAGCTGCATTAAAATAAGCGTCAATTATTGTTTGGAGTTTGAAATGCTCCTAGTGGAATATGATAGCTTAAATTTTTAATACGATATAAACGGAGATTCCTGAGCCCTTTTTAAAGGCCTAGGTCATAATTTCTGAAATATGTATTTTATGTCTATTTGCGTGTTTTACTGAAATTTATAGCCTTGTCCTTGTTTATTTTCCTACAACAGTGGGTGATACAAGCTCATTAAAATACAATCACATTTAATAATCGTACACCGCGGATGCTTTAAATCCTTAATTCACAAAAGGCTATTCAACCTTCGCGGTATTGTAAGCACAACAACGTGTAGAAAAGGTTATCGTTGCTTGGATACCTCAGCTTAGTATCAATGCCATTTTAATGCCTGGCCAAACGCAAAAATGGGTTCATACAAGTCTGCCATTATGTACTCACAAATAGATGCATAGCCATATTCTTGATCACGCATGTAATCGTCTTTTGCATTCTTCGGCAGTTCTTGTTAAATATCTAAGCAATTTGTCCATGGAATTTTAATGCCATTTAATTAACATACGAGTCGAAGAACTGGAAGGGGCATTGTAACAGCCAAGTGACTTTAAATCAGGCCTAAAATCCAAAATAGGAGGCCTTAGAGTTACTAGCACTGTAAACATCTTACCAATTCTATTAATATTTCTGATTCAGCATCAGCATCTGTTCAGTAGTTCACAATGTAATCTTCCGTTCACTCACAATAGCAGACATTATTTTGCTTGCTATTTTTTAGCAAACAAATACAGTGTAAAATTCTCGAGGAATGTACTTGGATTTATAGGTACAATTCTGGACAACTTTCCGAACATAGAACAATTGTTTTCGAGGCAAATGCAACTCACTTATCCTCAGTTGTGACAGCGCATTAATTTTATTTTTTATAACTATGAATTTTAGCCGTTGTTTAATTTTAAAAACCCATCATTTTAAGTTTTGGTGATAGACATATGATACATTGTAAGTTTTGTATTCCAGCTTTCTTTAATTAAGAGGACGTATGAATGATTGCTTGCAAACTATTTATTCATGGACACTCACTTTTTACATCGTGTTTCCGGGGTGAATTTGTGGCGAAAATGTGAACCACGAATTTCCAGCGTAAAGCATAATCTATAACAGTTCCGATCTACTCCAGTTGGTAGAACTTGAAGGTATGTACAAAAGCTGTTTCTAAAACGCATCCCTAAAAGATAATCCAAAACCCAATATCTTATTCTATAGATTTGTGCTTCAAATAATGCTGCTTTATCCTCCTTCCTCGCGTGTTTTTTCAAAGAATAGTTCTCTGATTAGTGACAGTTACCTTTTCTTGGGATTGGACAATAACATGCAAAGTGGAACGCATTGTTGAGAAGTACAATTACGATAATAGAAACCTTAGATGGGTGGGTTAGGTTGTTCTCTGTCAGAAAAAGTGCTTCACAAGAGAGAATCGCAAGCTTGCTCCCCACCGGAAAGGGACTAAAATTAAAGTAGAATTTTAAATAACTAAGACGCCTTGACTGAAGTTTAACAATCATTTTATTTTACTATTAAAACTGCACCAGGTACTTTCGTTACCTTGTTTTTCTATAAATTATGTTTGTCTACGTTTATGTCGCAATCACACTAATTGCATATTTTTCGGCCGAAGCTTAGCAAGAAAAGGAAAGAGGAATAGTTATCCAGTTGAAGTATCGTCGTGCATTTGGTCGCAATAAAAATTAATGCTATATTTTACAATGAGGAAAATGTTCCATCAGGAGCCAAATTGTAGAGGTGAATGGGTCAAGAATGCAGATTACATTCAGTTCTGCATAAGAATACACGTGTTTACATGCTTATTTGTATTAAATACTGAAGTGGACGAACACAATGACCGCGTGGAGGGCAGAGAGGTATGTTGAGGAATAGGACAGACAAAATCCCTCTGAAGTTGTTTTAGGGATTGGATTCCCTTGAAATCGTTCGTCATTTAGGGGCTTCTGGAATCTCTCGTTGGCAATGTAAGGACCGGATCTGATTAGGTGGGGATTAAATTTGAACTCTGATTGTTTATGTACAGGCTTTTGACCTATAATAAAAAACAAAATGATGCTTAGGTAGGTTTTAGGCCTTAAAAAATCAGATATGCTCTAGAGCATAGTTGTTCAGGAACAAGACTTTTGTGTTGTGATCATGAATTAAAATAGATGGTCACTTTGATCTAAATAAGTTTTTAGAACTGCTCAATTTAAAGGTGTAATGTCTCATAATGTTTTGACTTATGACAAGGGTGCCAGTTGCGTAAATATTCCGAGTTTAGACTAAAAATAGACAAAGCTCTACTGTAACTACCCGAGAACACTTGGTAAAATATTTTGTAAAATGTTCGCAAATCAAAGTGATATTTTACAGCGTGATTAATAAAACTAAAAAATACCTTCAGAATTGCCGCTATTGTATCCTTCGTCTTTTACTAGCCAATAGGATCGATCGATCACTGCCTTCTTCTCCGGTTTTGCTATAAATAGTAATGGGCCCTTTAAAAGCTAGTCAAAAATGTCAAAATGCTCTGAAAACAACGACTTTCACTTACATAAGGATATATCGGAATGAGCATATAATAGTAGGTTTAGAATGATTATATAATTCGGATTATACATTTGAATGGATAAGGCAGCTTGATATCACTTTTGGAACGAATATGGTCAAATAAGTCTTTTTTGACAAAAAATCTTAGGCATGGAATAATACACTATACTGGTTGGTGCTTCATTGCGTTAATCCTCAAGCGACCTAACAAGTGATGCACAAATTTTAATCCATTTAGTACATAAAAGGGGATTTTACAAATAAAAATGCTAGAAGCAGATTGCATAGTTTTTATTCGTTTGTCACAACAATTTTGAGCAGAAGTGCGAAATCGTGAAGCAAAAATCTGGTGGTACTTTTAAGCAATTTTATACTTCCTGAGCAATAAAAAGCGTCTATTACTAATTTATGCTAGTTATTAATACTTCTTCATCGTGGTTTGATTATTCTTAGAAGAAAAGCCTGATCAAGGAGCATTGAGCTCTTTGAATTTACCAATGACTTTGAGGTTGAACATTTTCTCGAGAACGGATTCGGAGTTAATTTGGCAAGAATACCTGCCAGCATCTTTGGGTTGAACTTTCTTAATAATAAGCGTCCAATCCTCATAAAATCGACGAGGCAGATAAAAGCGCTTGCTTTGGGTTGTCAGACCGAGTGAAATTTCCTGTAACTCCCGCTCCTTCCACCAAGAAACCTAGAAGGTTAATAAGAAATGCATAAGCTATTTTGAAAAGAAGATATGGTGTTAAGTGGAACTAAAATATTGCATGTTAACATTTTACGCCTGCGTAAATTGACAAAACTGTCATGTACTTTCAAAAATTATCCCTATAAAGCTTATGACTTTCGTTTACTTAAATGCCGAGTCAAATAATTTGCTAAATTCTTCCTTTGAATAACTTAACTGCAACACCGGACTTGGCTTTAAGGTTTCATTCTGTTATCACTTTGCAAGTTTCTCCTATCATTAAGCGAAATTTCAAGTTAAATCAATTCAAAAATCAACTGCATTATAAGTTAAAAGAAAATACTTTGAAAACGAAATATTGAAACCATTGATTCAGGAGAAGTCATGTGCGATAACTTCTGCTCATGCACAAGCTACGGAGTTATTACTTGATCTGTTTTAATTTTGAGACTGGATTACAACTGCAAAAAAACATTCTCAATATCGATTATTCTTCAAAAATGAGTTATCATTAAGTTTGCACTAAAAAACATTTTTTTTGTGAATTGTGTGATTCATTTGTTGGTTCACGTAATACTGCGGTGGCAAAGTATTGCATATGCACAATCAAATGAATTAAATAATTTGGTGTTACTCTACTTTATGAGCAGAATAATGATAGCTTTCCTGTAGACCCAGCAGAAATAAAAAAGTTGTGTTTATCGTTCTGCTAATCTACTAATTTAGCTTAATTGTGAATACAAGACCTTGCTGGTAGAGTATGATGAAACACAAATAAATGCATGCCACCAACTAAAACAAATACTATCTCTTGGTTTCTGCAGATTACTTTCCGAGGTTAAGTCCCAAAATGTAACTTCACACCAGCCATATTGAGGGGCTTAATTAAAATATTTGCGTGCAAGAATGTCACTTACACGACACATACTTGTGTGGCTTTAATGATTCAGGCTTGTCCTAACGGTTGCTGTATGCCATTTAGTAAATTAAGGCAATTCAGGTGTCATTTCTTGCTTTGAGTGGTAGGCCATAAGGTCCAAAGTAAATTGCTCCAATTTGAGTCAAGGAGACCTAAACTTGGTCAATATTAATTTGAAAAATAGGAAATTTGTCATTAATATGTTATGCTCTAAATTATCACTAAAATCTTTAAAGAATTTACTAGCATTTTCCATTTTAACATAAACTTGGGCGTTTTAATGATATATAGCATCTGGTATCGTAAGATATAGTTTAATATAGCATCCATGTGCGCAGTGTATATCAAGTCTGATTCCCTTATACTCTTCCAGTTCTACAACTAAAACTGTTCACCTAATTTTATGAAAAGGCTAACAATTAATTCAAATATATTATCGACGCATAAAGTTGATATTACTTTACAACTGGTGTGTGGCAAAGAACACTGCAAATTCAAAATCTACATACTTGACTTGTAAAAATTTTGATCATTTTGGAAAAATGGCTGAATAAGATCAGTTTAAAGTGTACTAAAATTATAAAGCAGTGGTGTAAATAACAATGCTAGAAGTTCAAACCTCTTAAAACAGGACCAGGTACAGGTTGAACAATAGGCTTTAGTCACCTGTACCACCAATTCGTTCTCCACGATTTGCAATAAGTTGCAGGTTTTGACTAATCCAGAGTTAAATGACATTATATTTATGGTTTCTACGCCGGTCGTATGTTGCTGACCTAATTCCTATCATCACATTTGGCAAGAAATATGCGCTTATTTTAAAAAGTGCATAAATCTTTGCATGGACAATTACCTAAGGCTTTACAGTATCCGGCAAACAGACCCAGATGACGGTGATGTACCCATAAATTTACTCTTACACTAGTATTCCTTTAAAATCTGGAGTAAATTTATTTAATTCTCACTGCAGGTAGCCATTCCGTTACTAAGGTAAATGAGGTGTTAATTATAAAGAGTTGAAATAAACGATCCATTAAGGAAAAAACTAGGGTTAATTGCCGTGATCCTAGGCTAGAAGAATGGTTAAGGATTTGAGGGTACAAGCTTTCTCTAAATTTCCTATTTTGAGGGGATGGCCAAGCACACGGCAGCAACACGTGTGCATGATTTTTCAAAAGCTCCTAATAACGCATTGAGGAACTAATCCCAACATCTACTGGCAATATATTTTGCTTTTAATGACCCCCTTTGGGGTAAAGGTTGAATAGCTAAAAGGTACAACTTCAAAATTATTCCTCTTTAGGATAGGTGAGAGGGAATTAAAATTGGTACGCAAAGATTAAAAATTCTGATATATAGATCGAGACATAAAATATATTCCCAAGATGATTTACTGAGACCAACCACGCGGTGTTGCAATCAAATTGTTATTTATGTGTGAAATATCCATTACAGAATACTTTGTTACGTGTAAAACTTATTGCACCCTTTTCAGCGTGGCACCTTAATTTTATCCCTTCCATAAATGGCGATGTCATGGGCCAAACCCCTTCAATGTGCAAAATTTCTTTGGTCTTTTGGAAACTCGTTCATCAACAAAAATTTGTATTCATTTTAACGTGTTATTTGAGATCAAACCACTGGAATAGTTTTATACTTGTTACATGATAAATTATAACATATGACTTTATTTTACTACACGAATAGAAATCGTTCTTATCAATTTCGCATTTAAATTTAACTAGCGCTTTTAAGCATTATTATTTAATTCTTTTAAAATTTAATAGAACATCAGGGTAAATGTCCTTGAAGATCTGACATGGTGAATAATTCACAAACGTTTCTTTAGCCTTCTCATCATACGATCCAAGAAATGAATAAGGGCATCGGTTTTGAACAATGACTAATGAGTGGATTAAACACCGCTGCCACTGTCATTTAATTTCGTAATGCATGAATAAAAATTATTAGAAGATTGGCAAGAAAATATTAAATAAATAGCACTTAGTACTGGTGACTAGGGAAAAAAATGAATTTTACTAGAAGTAAATTACCAGGGTTTTTGAGGAGTCGACATTGTACACGAAACACCTAAGTTCCGCAGTCTCGCCCTCATCAACCACAAGGTTCACCTTGACATCCCCAGCAAAGCAAGGTGTAGGATTGAACACGGTCTGATCGGGTTTGCAGTCGTACTGATTCGTGTCTGCCAATAAATTGGTGGTGGCATTTCGATCAATGTGGAAGAAGTTAAAGCAAAGGCTCCTGTGAAGTACTTGTAAAAGCATGAGGAGAATGCGCACCAGCACCTTCTTCAGCTGAATTTTCATTTCATCTGTCAATTTTGATGTGGTCCGGATTAGCACAGCTATCACGCATTCGAATGTATATCTGCTTTAACAGAAAAGATTTCGGATAAAATGTTTTATCTCACCGGAAACCCTCCATAGGTGGATAGAATAAAAAAGTGGTCTTTTCCTGTTTACATCTGATTGCAATCTCAAAATAATGATAGCACTCTATTCATGGCAAACCTTTGAATTATTCTTAAGATACCTCTTTTTTTGAATTACTCTTACCGCAAGATGAAAGGCATCAAAATCGGTAGGTAAAAGAAGTCAAATTATCAAACTACGCATTTTTAGATGACAGGAAAATTTTTGATTTGTAGATTTGAGTTTCTAGTAAAATCATTTGCGGTTTTAACATTGTTGTTATAATAGTAAATAAATATCTCGTACATCTATTTAGCCAAGCATTTCTCATTTTTAGCTTGCTGTATGTTTGCAACTAGCTATCAATCCATTAATATGACTGTCATATTGAACCCCTAGAAATGCATGAAAGGTTTGATGGTTTTACTGCCAACCAGAATAAGTGAAGTGGTATTAGCTAAGAAATGAATATTTGTAAATAGCTGGAAAGAAATGATTGCAATTAAAAAAAGTTCATTAGTAGGCATAAGATTCAAGGATCTGTAAAAAAAACCGAATAACACAGTCAATGAAAGATGTTACTCGAAACCTAGTGATTGTTATTGCCCTCTGATCGTAGATATCATGCGCCCACGCTACCTTTCTAGACTCAACCACTGTGCTTGAGATGCAATCTAAAGCAGCTAATCATCATAAAATGTAGAAGAATACATGTGACAATTATGTGACATAGATAGCGGACCTGTAAATGCAGCATAAATTGGCAGGGAAACAGAGCTCTTCCTGACTGCATCACATCACAGTATAAAACAAAACAGCTATCTTAAATCTTATTCCATCATTAGGTTTTTTGTGTTTTGCTTTCACATAAGCCACTTTAACCTGGGAGAGGCATGTTCATTAGAAACTAATGTAAAACCTCGAGTATATTCTTATTACAGAGAGGGGATAATAAATAAAGTCCAAAAATTGTCCATATCATAAATGAGGATAAATTTTCCAGAAAATGCTGAGACTTAATTAGAGTTAAACATTTGACAAGCTGACGTTATTAGTGAAGAGGGTTTTCATAGCTTGTCAGCACCGCCAAATTCATACTAGACCTTACATTAAATTACTCATTTCGCAAAGTATCCAGTAACTATTTCTGCATAATAGTACCTAATGCTTCATACTGCACCGGCTTACGTCACCATGTATTATAATTAAGCACAGTAATACGCTCTCTTTCACGCATCCAAATCATAAACTGTATGTTAGAATTCCGGACCAAAAATGTAAACATACTCTTTTAAATTTTGACTTGCATAAAAATATTGCAACAAGCAGGAGAACACGCTTGACTGACTGCAATCATGAAGTGCATAATACAAGGGGTTCACTATTAACTATCACACATAAATTCAGAGATAGTTCTACCTCGTATTAATTGCCTGTGGTTAGGCGTTACATCGGTCTACGCGAATTCAAGTCAGCCCACTACTCTCCACGGCCCAGTTCGGATGGTATACTCAAATTTCATTGGTTGCCACTTGTGTATGTTCCAAATTTCGCTAATCCAATCATCTTGTTTGGAACTACTGCATAATGTTTCCTAAAAGGTAAAGCTTCTAAATATTTTCTGGAGCTTTTTGGATGCAATTAGGGATAAGAAACCCTGTGCTGACATGCACATCTCTTTATAAATTAACAATACGAGCATGACTATAAAAGTGCCATTATAAACGATTGTTTTATTCTCCACTTTATACTAAAAATGGGTGCCTTTAAAAGCTTAAATTTTCTATCTGTAATCAGTAGTTATTATATACTGTCACAATTATTTTCCAACTGGGATCGCTTCTGGTTGCTTTTGGTTTCCAATTCATTGCTTTTTATACCCTAGTCGAAGTTATATTTCATCACGCTTAGAAAAACCCATATTTTGACTTTTAATAAGCAAGTTCATGTGAAACTCCAAAGTTTTTAAATATATGGTAAATTGGAGAGAATAATTGCTGCGTATGCCATGGAATACAATAACTCCTGGTTCATTCGGAAAATTATTATTGCTTTTAGGCTAAAAGGGTTCATATTTGATACTTTTCTCATTTGATAGCAAAACACATTGCCCCCTATGTGGGTCAATTCTGCCCACGGGGACACCACTATGCCAGAAGTTTATGGAACCGCCTAATTGCATTTACTTATTTTACAACAATAACTCCTCCAGTCCAAGACTTAATCATAAAGTGCACTAAGACATATTTGTGTCAACACCTTGGATTAAGGTTATGGGCAGTGTCTCTAAACATCAGTTGGCGTTCCACATGATTAGAACATTAAAGATTCAAACTATATGACTTTAACATTGGTGACATCAGCACGAATGTCGGTATTTACAGATATGCAAATCCTGAGCCAAGAAATTCAAAGGGCCGGAAAAGGCGTGTGCTCCGGATAATACAAAAGGCCTAGTAACACAAAATGCTTTTGCCCTATCCATTGTAAAGTAGCCAGAATAGGCTTGGAATCTCAGGTTTTGACAACTGCTTAATTCACATTAGATAAAAGGTGCAGCGCTCTCACTACTGTAAAAAAATTGAGGCTGTTTTACAAAGCTGTTATATACACCTACTGCAAATTGTCTTGGTGGTTTGCACGGAAGTTTTGTAATTAAAAGCGTGCATTTGATTGCTTGATACATTGTAAGGCAAATGATATAATGAATAACAAATTTTTCAAGATGCTTAGCACATGATTGACTAAGTATTGATATCACCACACCCTTTCTGGTTTCGTGAGATAAATTAGGGCGAATTTATTAATAAAAATAAATTACTGCCGCAAACCTCTACAAACACAAGAAAATATTTCTATTGTAATGGTCCACAAATTTTGGCTGTCCAGACATCACAGAATGCCCTTTTGCTCTTGGATTTCCCTCATCAACCAATAATTGCGGTTGTAATCACTCAAGCGTATAAACCTCAGTTATAGCATTAGCGACTCAGTATTCAGATTATAGAGCCATTAAATTTTAAACTGCTATTCGTGAAACTGCTGAGTATATTTGAATTGTTAACGCAGACAAGGATTTCGATTCTGTCAACCTGGTCACCCACAGTACCAGCACCGTCAGGAGATGGTATTGCTTATACCATGGTGAAGTAACACGAAGGTCCAAAAGGCAATGGCACATTTGATTCATGACTTAAACGGTAAAAGGAGCTGCTTAAAGCTGATCTCGCTACACAGAATGAAACATTGGAGGCTTATCTTTTACTTCGCTACCTGAGTTTAGCTGAGTTTAAACAGTACTGCAATACGATGCCTTCGCAAAATCCACAAGACCGTCCTTTCATGCAAGAACATATCGTTAAGCAGTCGTCACCCACCAATATGCAGCGTAAATGCTTGAATTGGAACATAAATGAGATTGGCGATTTTTTGACTTAAACCATGTGGACGAGCATTGAAGTTGAAGCATTTGACCGGTGACAAGTTTTAAGCCGTCCACTTTCATCTGCAGCTTGCAGTTACCCAAGTTTGTAGGCGATCAAGTACGTCTACTGACTTATCTGAAACTGGACCCAAATATTAAGCCGGAGACGATTGCCGAGAAGCAATAACACACAGTCATTCTGTAGCATGACAACACTGTGGTTCAATGCGGGAACAGAGTTAATTCCTAGATCCACGTTGTGGATCGACCCAATCAGTCAGTCACACACAAGCCTGATCCACTCAAATTCAACCGATGTCTTAATAGGCTAAACTTTAAAGTCGATGAATCTGCAAGGCTTAGCACTTTTAAGTCATAATCCCACAGTAAACATCGATGTCTCTAGTGAAACACTGTTGATTACAGAAATGAATACTGCCAATCTTAGCCACCCAGCTCTAGAAAGCTTAAAAAATGAATGTGAAGCAAGTCAAAGAAGGTTTGTACTCCACTCAGTATGATGAGCGTTTTTAAAATACGGAATCTGACCCATGAGAGTACATCATCATCCGTCTCAGTGGCTACCCAGAGCAGCTGTAAATGGACACCCCCTCGGACATTGCCATTACATAGCAAGAACTATGACATCAACTTGAAAAAAATACCGGTCTACCAGATGACTTGAAAGATTTATTTATGTAGCTAGTGGTCAAGTGAAGCTCTCTGAACGGCCACATTGATACTCATACTACTCTGGCATGCCATTTATTTAAATGTGGCGCATTATTAAGGTAAACCGCAGCTTATTTGGTCTTGAATGGTTTAAGTTGGATCAGAACTAGGTACCAGTTGAAGAATCCATTAATCGGATGAGCTCAACTGGAATGTCTCATGAGTAGTTTGCGAGAACATTTAAAATGGTTGTCCCATATTACCATTTATTTTACTTTGTCCGAATGAAGTTCAAGAAAAGGACAGAAAAATTTGTAGCTTTGTTTATCTTGCGATGACCTTAGATCAATACTCCTCCGTTACGATTTTATCATACACCTCCATAGGCTGCCAGAGGTTTGGTGATTATGTTATGTTGGCTAAGTTACTACGTCTAAAGACACTAGGCCAGTTTCATACCAGTAATCCTGGCGTAGCCCCATAAAGTCTATTGCCGCAGGTTGCGGTTAATGGCCGCGCAAGGGCCTATAAATTGGCAATTTTCTCAAAGGCTGCTGACATCACCAACACACTGGAAAGAACCTTCGGGATCTCTCACTGCTACGTTGGCCTCGACGAGAAAAGCTTTAGTCGAGACTTCATCTTGACCTTGACAGAACTGTCCATAAAACTTTTTTCACAATTAAGTTGGTACCTTTTTAAAATGCCACATTATATTCTTTAGCTTTGAAGGCTCCTGAATGCATTAGTCACAAATTATGGGTTGAGATTTACTTCGTGATCCTTGTATGACTGTTGA